ACGAGAGCCGGGCCGGGAACACCCGGACAGTTCCTGTCCTCCCGTCGCCCCGCCTCGCCGGGCTCTGAACCCCCTCCTGGCCTTCACCCCGTCACCGGCCACCGCGGCAGCCCCGAGGCGGCCCGTCTCCGCCCTGCTCCACCTGCCCCGCCCCGCGGCTGCTACCCGGACGAACCGAGGCCGGCGGGCCCAGGCCCGTTCACCGCCCGGGCCCCAGAGCCTGAGAGCGCGGACAGCAGATGAAGCCCACTGCGCCATGCTCGCCACAGCCCGCTCGCGCACTCGTCCCTGAGCGTCACGTGCCCCCGCGCTAGCCCCGCCCCGCCGTCCGGGGGACCGTAGACGCCAGGCGGGAGCGGCTCCCTAGTCGGCACAGCTCCGCCCCCAGACGCGTCTCTGCGTCCCGCGCTCCCCCCTTCTTCGGGCGGGGCGGTGGTGACGCTGAGCGCTTGCTGCGAGCAGCCATTACGTGTACACTTAGCCCTCGGCAGACGCTGCGAAGAACGTACTGCTATCGCCCCCACTTGAGATGAGAAACTGCGGGTCGCCAAGGCTGAGGCCACAGCCTGCCGACCCCGGGCGCCCGCACTCCTCTACCCTATAGGGACACAGAAGCGCGGTTACCCTGACAACCCGCGGGCGCCCAGGGCCGTGGGAGGCGCTCCCGGCCTGCCCCGCGCGGCGCCGGAAGTGAGTGAGCATTTCCGGCGCCCCCCCCCACCCGGCGCTGACTTCTCGTGGTAGCGCGGCCCTGGGGTCTCTCGCCGTCATGAAGGACGTGCCCGGCTTCCTGCAGCAGAGCCAGAGCTCCGGGCCCGGCGAGGCCGCCGTGTGGCACCGTCTGGAGGAGCTCTACACGAAGAAGTGAGCCCCACGCCGGGACCGCGGACAGTGGGCGGAGGGCCCGGGACCCGCTCGGGGAGGACGCCGCGGGCTCGGCCGGGAGGTGGCGGAGGGGCGGCCGCCCACGGGGACGAGGGTTTGGGGGTGTAGGCGTCACTGCCTTCCAAGGCCTTCCCGACCGAGGGGCTGTCTGAGGTTCTGAACCTTCTGGTCTTAGAAGAGGGTTCAGGGCGGGCCCGTGATTCCGTTCAAACAAGCCAGCACCTCGTTTTGGACAGCAGATCCTGGGGTCGCGCTCGGCCTTGTCCTAGTGACTGTGCCCACGGCCGCCTCCCTCTGGCCTGGAGCCGAGAGTCCGGAGGCCAGTGCGGTTTTGCCCTTTTCCGCGTTGATTCTGCAAATGGTCACACTCTGGGTACAACCACTTCTTCCCCTCTCCCATGGGCCCCACTTTCAACTGCATTTCATCTGGGGCCTTGTGACCCTAGAGCCATCGCAGTTTGGGTTAGTTTAGAAGTAGGGTGAATTTCAGGGCGATTAAATTGTCAGTTCTTAAGGACCAGCCTCTCTTTAAATGAATGGAGTCCATTGCTGGCACTGGGCTGGCGACAGTCCATGGGCACATTCAGCCCCCTAATGATCTCCTGTTAACTACCCCAGCATTTAAGCGCTGTGCCCTTTCACATACATACTCAATACACGTTTTGCTGGTGTTCTCCTTTTTGGTTTCAAACGTGCTGTGTTCTGAGGTTTTCTGTATTCATTTAATTCTTCAATCATCCCATTCACAGATGAGGAAACCGGAGCTCAGTTTAAGCTCTTTCTCTGAGGGACTCTGCTAACAAGTGGAAGAGGCGGGATTTCAACTTGAATATGTATAATTACAAAGTTCTTGTTTCCCGCCAAACCTCACAGTAACCCTTGGAGGTAGTCTGGAAAAGTGGTCTCCATTTATCGATGGGAAAGCTGCATCTCAGAGAGTAGAGGTGACCTCAAGGGGTCATAACCGTGGAGTGCGGAGCCAGGAAGGAGCCAGGAAAGAGCTCGGGTTCGTTGGCACCTGCGTTAGCATCCTTCCTGGAGCACAGTAGAGGCTGGTTACTGTTTGCTGTTTGATGGGACTGTCTGGGCTGACCGTGTCTGTGACTAGACATTAATTTCTAGGTCTTGAGGGCCTTAATGTTTTTCAGGTTGTGGCATCAGCTGACACTTCAGGTGCTTGAGTTTGTGCAGGACCCGTGCTTTGCCCAAGGAGATGGTCTCATTAAGGTAAATGAATTGGCCAGGACACCATCAGGGCCTGAAGAAGCACCCAAGTGCTGCTGAGGGGTCTGTGAGGGGGTGTCATTAGCCTGCAGTCATCTAGATCTGTTAGGTTCCTGAACCTTTCACACTGGTTATCTGTTTACTCAGAGTACTTTGGAGGAAGAACATAGGAATTGGTCTTCAGGAGATCCAGATTCTAATTCCCAAAGCTAGAAAAACTTAGCTTTCTTTTGTAGTCCATTGGTGATGATTTATGTGAACCTAATAAACCCAAAAATGGGTCTTCTATCAAACATTACGGGTTCAGCGAACATTAACTCGGCCCGCCATACAATGGGCTGTGTGGTGCTGTCCAGTCTGGATTTTGCAGAATGAAAGACGTCGTGTGACTTCTCTCCATGTTTTGCTCCACAGCTTTATGAAAACTTCATCAGTGATTTTGAGCACAGGTAAAACTCTTCTGTCTGTTTTTGACTTTGAAAATGAAAATGTTGATATTTGCTGACTCTCACAGGCTGGTGGTTGTTTTTCAGGGTGAATCCCCTGTCACTGGTAGAGATCATTCTTCATGTAGTCAGACAGATGACAGGTGAGTCTCGCTTGCTCTTAAAGGAGTGGGTTCAAATGGTAGTTAAAATGATCTTGAAATATAAGTTAATTGAAATTTTGTATTTTGATAGAAAATATCCAATTCAAATATTTTCATCATATTTTATGTTCTAAACCTTAAGATTACCCCACCTAAATGTGTCCTGGTTGGTAGAAACCAGCCAGTAAAGATACTCTGCTCATGGTTCTGACCCTGCTCTGCTTCCTTTTCTAGATCCTAATGTGGCTCTTACTTTCCTGGAAAAGACTCGGGAGAAAGTAAGTGTGAAGTTTGAGCCAGACCTCCTAAAATATGTGACTCGTTTGTGTCTGTGCTCACTGCCCACAGCCCTAGAGACCAATGTCTGTCCATGCGAGCTGTGCAGGGTGTAGGTGCCTTGGTGTGTGGGTCCACTGCCCACACTTCTGAGGTTCCTTGTTTCTGCTATCTTTAGGTGAAAAGTAGCGACGAGGCTGTGATCCTGTGTAAAACCGCCATTGGAGCCCTAAAATTAAACATCGGGGACCTACAGGTTACAAAGGTGAGATCGCCACAATACGGGTTTATCTTTGGTTTAAAACTGTGGGGGAGCTCGGCCAGGCGTGGCTCCGCGGTTGAGCATCAACCTAGGGTCCAGGCGATCGGGGTTCTATTCTCAGTCAGGGCACATGCCCGGGTTATGGGCTCGATCCCCAGTCGAGAGCATGCAGGAGAAAGCCGATCAATGACTCTCTCATCATTGATGTTTCTGTCTCTCTCCCTCTCCTTTCCTCTCTCTGAAATCAATAAAGGTATATTAAATAAATAAATAAAAGTGTGGGGGAAAGATACTCTTTTTTCTCTTTTAACTATTTTAAAATTATTTTAAATTACAGAAAAGTAAAAATAGTGCAAAGAACTCTCCTATACCCTTACCTCAGGTTATTATTGTTAACATTCCACATCTTTGCCCATCATTGTGTGTGTGTATGCACGCTTGCGGTTTTTCCCCCAAAACCATTTAAGAGTAAGTTGCTGGTATGTTGCTGTTACCCTCAAACAGGAGTGCTGCCTGTAGGAGCCCAGCATGTCTGTGCTGTAGGGGTCACAGCCTTAGCCAGTCACAGCATATGGGTCCTTGTTGACCAGGGTCAGCCACCCAAACAGGTCACATGCTGCTGCCCCACCTGTCTGCATCCTAATCATGTCAGTTTTCTGTCTTGGTGCCTTTTTTGCTTTGCTTTTAGTGTAACTTTGGGGACAGGCGTGGATACAGGAAGACCCACTTATTGGTCAGTGCCCCTTGTTTAACCACAGACTACATGAGTTTACTTTTGCTCTGTCTTTTTGGTAACTATAATATTAGATGAAATATTGGGAGTTAAGTGTTCATGTTCTCTTTGCCCTAAAAAAATCTTTTTACTGTTTTGTCTTTACTTCCAGTTTTAGTCCACATGCATACTTCTTGCCTTTTGTTTTGAAATATTTGAGATAGACTAAAAGCTGTAAAATACCATCAAGAATGCTGTAATGGGCAGCCAGGCACCCCACCTGGCCACACCCTCCCCAGCAGTACCCTGCTGACACTCGGTGCATCCACATCTTCACGCCCCCACTAGATAGGGATGTGCAGCTCTCAATGACTGGTGGTGTTTCACCTCACCTGCTGCATGTTAGGCCTGGGGGTCATCGTTGACACGTGTAGCCAGGTACTTTTTCCATTTACACAGTATCTCACTATATAAACACTTCACAGTGGCTCTGTTAGAGGGGTTTGGGTTGCTGTTTCTATTACAAACAATACTGTTGTCAATATTTCTGTGCCTGGCTCCTGTGGACATGGGCAGACTCACTAGGGCATGTGCCTGGAGGTGAGACGACAGGCGTGTGTCGGATGCTGTCCACTTTGGCCATGCATTGCCCAGTATTTCTTCGCAGTGGCTCTTGCTCCCATGGCACCTATATTTTCAGACTGTTCAGTTCTTGGCCAATCTTATGGAGGTAGAATGGTATCTTGTTGCGTGTACAGTCTGCATTTCTTGTTCACTGTGGTTTATTTACTTTCCCATGTCTCCACTTGTAAATTGCCTGTTAACATCTTTCTTTAGCCCATTTTCCTGTGTTGCTTGTGGTCTGTTTACTTGTAAGAATTCTTTGTATAGCTTTGGTCATATTTCCTCGTGGGTTCCCTGTGCCCGTACTGTCTTTCCCTATGTTGTTTTCTTTGTGGTTTGGATGAATTGAAATTTGCTGTTTTAACACATCAATTTTTTGTGCATTTCATCTTGTCATATGTTACTTTACAATGTTGTAAGTTAAAAAGGTGATCTTGCTTCCTGTATACAGGAAACAATCGAAGATGTTGAAGAAATGCTCAACAACCTCCCTGGTGTGACGTCAGTTCACAGTCGTTTCTATGATCTCTCCAGTAAATACTATCAAACGATTGGAAACCACGCGTCCTACTACAAAGACGCTCTGCGGTTTCTGGGCTGTGTCGACATCAAGGACCTGCCAGGTAACACCAGCACTCACCCATGTCCCAGCAGGAGCTCACTCTGCAGACACAGCAGCTGTGAGGAGTGGAGGCAGCAGGTCTCGGGAAGTCCTCCGACACACTCATCCCTTTTGAAGAAAGCCAATGTGGTCAGAGGGGAAGAGTTGTTTAAGCTTCAGTTTCCACATTGTATTTGTCTTCAGCATTTAATTCAGATGAAAATGAGGTTAACTGCTCCTCCTCCAAGCCTTTACTGCTGTCCACATCACAGGTGTTTGTGACAAATACAGTGGTGTTAGTACCTGGACCTAAAACTCTTATTCTGAAAACTGAAATGCTAGAGCCAGGGAAATAAATGACAAAAAATTTTCAAGGATTTAAGGGAGGAAAGAAAAGTGACCGCTGAGTTTTGGGGAAAGTGCAACGAATGTGTGTTTAGAAAGGAAGTTCCAGCAAATTTTAGAGGTTTCTCTGTTTACTGTTGAAGCTGACGAGACCAACCAATCCTGAAAGTGCAGTTTAATTGCTGCACCTCAAGAAAAGGCAGCGAATGTGGTCAAGAGGACAAGGGACTTGCTGTGTGGGAACAAAGTAGGTGAATTCTAGTCTGAAAAGAGACTGAATGAAATAACTAAGAGGGACTGTGCTTTTCCCATCCGAGGCAAGGACATCAGGAGCACAGAGCTCCAGGAAGTAGACAGGGGGGAAATGTAAATAGAGTCGGGTTTAAAGGGGGAAATAAGCAAATGAGTTGTGCTTCCCACAAAACCTGTGAATGTGGGTCCACGTATAATCGGAGTCATCCAGCACTTTAGCAGAGGTGACCCATTTAGCACTCATCCCAGAAGATGGTTTCTGTACTTTTTAATGTGATATTTTTAAAGCTGAACAGGACTGGTGATCATACCTGGTGTGTGACGAGGGGCGGGGGGTGTCGTCCTAGTGCCGGAGCAGCAGGAGAGAGCATTCACACTGGGACTGGCAGGCCTTCTCGGCGAGGGAGTGTTTAACTTCGGAGAACTTGTAAGTGGGTCCTGGGCACAGACTCTTCACCGGGGGGCATTACGCTCTGCCCGCTAACTGTCTCTGTCCTCGCAGCTCATGCACCCCGTGCTGGAGTCACTGAGGGGCACTGACCGGCAGTGGCTGATTGACACCCTTTATGCCTTCAACAGCGGCAATGTAGAGAGATTCCAGACTCTGAAGGCCGCCTGGGGCCAGCAGGTCAGTCCAAGCAGGGCTGGCTGAGCGCCCATTTGCTCCTGGCTCTGCCATCCCTGTGTCTGCATTTATTCAGCAAATGTTTACTGAGCACCTTCCTCTCCACCAAGGTGCTAGGGGAGGAGACTAAGACAGGCAGCCTTGCTCTCACCAGACAGGAGGTTAAGTGCTCCTGGGTCACAAGAGTGACTCAGTTTTTGTCATGCTCTGCGCTGCACAGTGCTGGGTGGAGATGTGTCACAGGCTTCCACAAGAATGAGGCCTTACACGTGGGCAGCTTAGTCAGGGTTAGAGTCATGAAACCCATTTTCCGGGGTATGGTTCTGAGCTCAGCAAATAACCTTTTTTAAACAGAGTTTATTAACTCATGCAGCATTTAAATATGTTTTCATTGATTTCAGAGAGAGAGAGAAACATCAATGATGAGAGAGAGTCATTGATCGGCTGCCTCCTGCACATCCCCTACTGGGGATCGAGCCCGTACCCCAGGCATGTGCCCTGAGTGGGAATTGAACCACCATCTCCTGGTTCTTGGGTCGACGCTCAGCCACTGAGTCACACCAGCCAGGCAGCAGATAACCCTTTATCCACCTGCAAGGAGAATATGCTGTTTCCATGGTAAATTGATCACTGCTCTTCAGAACAAGTCCCAGGAATGAGGAGTATTCCTCAGGCCCCACATGCACCTGCGCCTGCTCCAGCATAGGTGTGTTCTTCTGGACCGCCTGCCCATGGCCGCCCCCTGCTGTCTGTACATGAGTACAGCTCTACCTTGTAAATTCCTTGTCTTGGGAAACGAACAGCCTTTCAGCTGGACACTGTCCTTGTCATTTCCTAAGAAAAGCAAAGTTCAGGTGCCTGAAGCTGATCATCAGCCTCATGACCCACAGGGTCATTGTTAGACCTGCCTGTTTCTCTCTGTTCCACCTTCTGGTCACGTAACTGGTATCTTTCTACTTTACAGCCTGATCTAGCCGCCAACGAAGCTCAGCTTCTGAGAAAAATCCAGCTGCTGTGCCTTATGGAGGTAAGCAAGCAACCAGGACCCTTTGTGATGTGAGACCAGCAGGTGAGCCTGCAGGTCCTGTAGACTCAACCTGTGGGTGCAGCTGAAACAAGTGAATCGGCTAAAACAGTGGTGATGTTCCCCTGCCTGCCCCTCCCCACCCTCTTGTCTCTCCTCCACCACCTGCTCTTCTGAGTGTGTACTTGGGTCTCAGCGTCACGGCCCCTCCTCAGAGAGGCCCAGCCAGGCCACCAGAGCTAAAGTAGTTGCTGCCTCATTGCTGTTCCTTGTCTACATGCCCATCTGCCTTTCCCACTAAAGTTTGAGCATTTTGAGAAAAGAGACCTTGTGTTTCTGCTTCAGCACAAGTCCTGAGCTCCAAGTACTTGCTCAGGAAGTGGACACTGACAAGTGCAGAAAACTACTGTATGGCTAGTGTTACCTTCTTACCTAAGCATTGAAAGCTTGTTCTCAAGATATGTGACTAATATTAAGAGAACTTTAGTATAGAGTTATTAATATCTATATTTTCAGAGCAAATATTGATGAAAATGACCTTATTAATCAGTTCTTTGACAATTCTTATTTGGGAAAATAGTTTAACAAACAAAACCTTTTTTCAGATGACTTTCACACGACCTGCCAATCACAGACAACTCACTTTTGAAGAAATTGCCAAAAGTTCTAAGATCAGTGTGAATGAGGTATAGTTCTTGGACTCGGGATGTACCAGAGGGGCCGGGCTCCTGGTGGGAGCATACTGCTCCCTGACTCAAACCACGCACAGAAGCGGCATCTCCCTCGAGTTTTGAAGCTGGCTGGTGCACGGTGCATGTGCTGACACCTGCGGCTTACACAGCCCTCTCTGCACAGGTGGAGCTGCTGGTGATGAAGGCGCTGTCGGTGGGGCTGGTGAAAGGCAGCATCGATGAGGTGGACAGGAGGGTCCACATGACTTGGGTGCAGCCCCGAGTGCTGGACTTGCAGCAGGTGATGTGGTGGGAGCCATTTAGGAAGAAAGCAGTATTAAGATAGGTTTTGGGGAATGAATTGCTGCAGGCCCTGAGGATTTTTCAAACAACATAATTTAATGCCAGCCTGGGATTTGAACCCTCTATTTAAAAAGCGATTATGATAACATTGCTGGTTATGCTGGTGATGCCTTTTAATCCTAAAATTGGTCCTCTAATCAAATACGTTCCTGCTTATGTGATTTGAGCTTAAATCCATCTTGTTCACATTTGCTAGAAATTTAATCCTGTGGATTTCCTCTGTTATTGCCTGTTTTCTCTCATGCCAGCTTTTGACAATGTGCTTGTGGTGAGAATTATCTGGGACAGTGCCATGTCCTGCACCCCACCCGCAGCTCAGATGTCCCGTTAGTGCTGCCCTGGTGGGTGTCCTGACACTGTGGTCCTGCTTTGCCCTCAGATCAAGGGGATGAAGGACCGCCTGGAGTTCTGGTGCACTGACGTCAAGAGCATGGAGATGCTGGTGGAGCACCAGGCCCATGACATCCTCACCTAGCAGCATGGCAGTGGGAGCGAGCTCCTCACTGATGGGGGTGGGATTCTGTTGGAGTAGTGACTGTTCTTCCTGTGAAACAGGACTCACTGGTAGGTGTCTTCTGGACCCACAGTGAGGATGAGGCAGGCAAGAGTGGGGGCCCGAGGAGTGGGGAGAGCTGGCCCTGCATGGGGTGGCACCTGCTCCAGGTTGATCTGCACCCACCCACCATTGTGAACATGTTTCCCATGTGGCGCAAGATGGTCCTGGAATAAATGCCTTTGCTATGTCCTCACTGTGGTGGCTTCCTTTGGCTCAGCTTCCAGGTCAAGCCTGTGCCTGAAGAGATTGAAGGCAGGAGATGGAACCTGGAGGGGATTTGGGGGGATGAGACCTTGGCCTCCCCACTACTCTGAGAAAAGAACGTTGAAGCACATAGGGGACTGGGGTGGAGCCCAGTGCAGAGGGCCAGGGAACGGTCCTTTCTGACAGGCAACTGTCCCCTTTCCACCAAACCAGCAGCTTCTGTGACCCAAGTGCCCTGTTCTGAGAGTCCAGGGAGGCACCGCATACGCATGAACCACCAGGCAAGCATTAGGTTGGGAAGGTTTTAATGTGACCTTCCCGCCCTCACAGCGGTGGCTGCCAGGCCCTCAGGCTGAGGATCTTCTCTTGTAGCTCTCCAGGTGGGACAGGACCCAGCCCGCAGGGATCAGGAAGCTGAGGAACGTCACCACGAGCGCAGCGGCCTGCTCCTGCGTGGAGGAAAACACATAAGTCCACTAGGCTTGTATAGGGCTCCGTCCTGGGTCACCAGGGGAGGCATCTACGTGCCCCTGTCCCTGGGTCCCAGGAGAGCAGCAAGGAGAGTTACATAGACTGCCCTGCCCCCGCTAAGCCTTCCTGACCCCCTCACCCTTGACTCCTTCCCAGGGGTACAAGGCACAAACACAGCTCAGATTCTAAGTTGCTTGCAAACAAGTTCAGGGCCTTTGTCCAAGTGGTAGTCCTGTTGTGCAGCCCTGGTGGGGGAGGTGGGGTTCCCTGGCTGTATGTGGGTGTGGGTGCGCGTGCATGTGTGTGGCCCATCTGGAGCCCTGTGTTAGTGGCGGAACTTCAGGGCCAGGTCCTGAAGAAGCAGCTGTATTTCTCCTCTCAGTTTCCTGGAACAGCCTGGGCCCAGGCATCCCTCCTCTGTTTCCTAAATCAGATGCCAGATGGGAGGCTAATCCTTACTTCTGACTTCAACTCCCAGAGGTTTGAGAGCAGCGTTGGCCTTGAACAGGGACCTTAGGCTTCATCCAGCCACATGACCTTGGGCAGATGACCTTCTAGACCTTGGTTCTTTATGCTTAAAACAGGTAGTTGTCTGCTCTCCAGGAGCCCCAGGGTAACTGAGGTTTGTGTTGTTTCCCCTGTGCTCTCTCTCGCTGGCCCTCAAAGTAGCCCACCTTCCCTTTTAATGGGTGTGGCGCCGCAGGACACCAAGCACCCTCCCAGCTCAGCCCTTAGCACCTGTCATTTCTAAGAAGGCCAGTGGGGCCCGAGAATAGGGCCCTGATTGACTGCTGGCTGCTGGGGACCTTGCCTGCAGGCAGTGGCTATAGGGACCCCTTTCCTAGAGTTGGGACATTGTCCCAGCCATAGGACAGACCCAGCACCAGGGTCACCTCTAGCAGCTTCAGGCCTGAGAGGACGTCTCCTCTCCCTTTTACCACCCTGGTTTTCTGTGACCCACCCTGAAACCCTCCTCACCCTGAGAGCATATCAGGACTGCCCACCCCCACCCCCTGGGCTAGCCCCCTGCAGCATCACAGGTACTTACCGAGGGAGAGGTGGGTGTTCTGGCCGGCTTGGCAGAGATGTGCGCCTTGGGGACCACACAGGCCCTCAGAGGGGCTTGCAGCAGCCTGATGGTGGGGCCCAACCTCATGATTGCTAGGCCGAGCTCCCGAGTCCAGTGAGTCCTGTGTGTCTCACTGTGTCCTCTCCTCGCCCGGGCGTTGGGCTTTTTATAGCTCAATGGAAAGCCACAGCTGCCCCCTCCTGTCACAGGGCTTGACAGAAAGGACGCCTGCTTGGGACCAGAACCAGCCTCAGACCACAGACTCTGGCACTGTCCTCTGCTATGGCTCCATAGGGGCTTCGAGCCCCCTGCAGTGGGCAGGCTTGGCCCTCCCCAGAAAGGGCTTTCACTCCTTACCAGGGAAGTCAAGCTGGAGAGCGCTGAGGGGAAAGTGGCACCGTTGATGAGTACCTGTCAGCTGGCAGTGCCATGACCGCTTTAAGTTCTCTAACTTTGGCATTTCTGGCTGAGCTGCCCAGCTTTCTCGTTCACCAGGGGAGCAGCCAGCTGTTCCTGGGGCCTCGCTCCACCCTGGGCACAGCTTTTGTGTGGCAAGGGAGTCACCTGGTTGCTGACGTGGGTGACCCCTGCCTCAGGGCCACATGCCGGTCAAGGCACCTGGTCCCCCACAGGTCAGGCTATAGCATCCCCACCTCTCCCCTCCTGCAGGGAAGTTGCTCCATTCCTTCCCACAGCGATTACTAGGGAACTTGTTTCCTGCTCCTGAGAGACTGTCGCATCTTTTCTGTGCAACATTGCCCACCTTGGGGAGGGCAGTGGGCTGTCTGTCCCCAGACCCTCCTGCTGGACGCCCAGGCCAAGTCCCTAGCACCTTCTCCAGCCCCTTTCTCCTCAGTTGCTGGATGCTGAGCCCTGGTTTTCCTTTAGCATCGTCCAGACCCTGTGTAACCTCTGACTACCATCCACCCCTTGTGGACCTCACCTTGCCTTGACCCCTAGTTGCTCCTATCTACCATCAGGATGCATGGACTCTAACCCTTATCCCCACCTGTGGTTGAGTCCCTGAAGCCCTGCAGTCTGTGCCCCCATCCTCAGGCCAAGTGTCTTATCCGTCTGATGCTCACACTCATGTCTGGTCCACCATGACCATACCCTCTGACTGGACTCCCCACCCCCAGTCTGGCCTTGAAGGTGTCACCCACAACTCCACACAGCAGCTGGGACAATCCTAGAACAACCAGGTACCATTTCTGCCTGTGCCCCGCTGCCTCCACACCTACAGCAGCTGCCACCTCTGCCACACGGCTCCCTCAGGTTTTCATGTGTTCACACAGTCTGGGCCCTGGTTGGATGGCATCACTCAGGTATGTACTTTTGTAGCTGGAACACAAGGCCTGTGACACAGCTGAGTTGGGGCTGGAGTGATGTCTGGCTCAGCTGACCTCAGTCGGGGAGGAGGGCCGGTGGTTGGGCAAGTTGCGTCACATTACCAGCACAGGGACCTGAGTGAGTGTGCTGACAGTGATGAAGGCCACAGCCCCAAGGTGCTCCTTTTGCCAGCTCCAGACCAGATGGGCATGGCACAAGCCTGGGAGCTGAGAACCACATGGGTCCCTTGGCCCCCAGACTCAGCCGGGTCACTGTCATCACTAGAAATGATCTTGCCCCAGTCAGTTTAGAAATGGTGAGTTGATGACATGACTTCACTACTTTTGTTCTTCCCTGGAAACGACACTTGTTCCAAAGGTAGGACTCGTTTCTGGGCCCCACCCCACTGCCTCCCTGTGACTTGGTTTCCCAGGCAGGCAGCCTGGCATGGAGGCCAGAGGAAGGAGTGTGTCCTGAGTGTTACCTCCAGCAGCGCTGGGTCAGGCTGTCAGCTCAGGCCCTGGGCTCTGCCCCTCAGAATAATCCCTTCCGCCTGAAACTGTAATTATAGCTTTGGGGTGCAGTTGGGGGTAAGGCTGTGGATTAGAGGATCAATAACACAGCCTAGGGTAGTTCCTTCACAGATAAGACCTGCTGCCCCAGCCCCCACCCCTGGCCTGGCTCTGGGTGCCCTCCCACTCTTCCCAGCATGGGTGGGATGGGGTGTAGGCAGGCGGGGGGAGGCGGGTAGAGTGCCCACTGGACAGCAGCTCCAGGATGGCTGCTCCCAGCAAGTCCTGGGTGGGTGAGACTGCCCCCAGGAGACAGAGCCGCTCCCTCAGGACACACCAGCCTCAGCCCTCAACCCTTCCCACGTGTCCCTTGTAGGCCTTTGGACCTTTCCAACCTTTCCAAGCACAAGCCTGCCCTCCTGGCTCCCTGTTTACACAGTTTCCAGGGCCCTGGCCACGGTAGCAGGGAGCTTCAGGCCTCACCCTAACCAGGCTTTTAGCCCCCAGAACCACTTGTCCAAGCTAAACCCTACAGAGACTCCTGCTGACCACACAGCACATAGAGGCTGCCAGAGGTGAGAGCCTGGCAGGGCCATCATCACCCCAAAGTCATGTTAGGCCCCCACAGAGCATGACCAGGTGTCCTGGGCTCCCTTCCCCCACTGGGGTCTGCCATTGCCTGGGAGGAAGCAATGTGACCCATAGAGAAGAGATGGGGGCCATATGGGGTCACGTTGGACAAGGGATTAAAAGGCTCTAAGGGTGCAGGGTGGGGATAAGGGCATCCTGTAACACTGGGGGAAGCTGAGATTTGGGGAGGGTGCAGGGCCGTGGGCTGAGGACCAGCCAAGCCTGTCCTGGCCTGTGCTGAGCCAGGGCAGGAAGAGCTGTCGAGGCTCCCGAATCCTCACCCTCCCCTCCTTCATTGACCACACACACAGCCGTCCAGCTGTCTGCCCAGACCTCTCCCTCCTGCCCCTGATGTGGGGGGTGGGGAGGGGGCAGCCACCGGGCACACTGTCCCTCAAAAAGCTGCAAGGCCCCCTGGAAGGTCTGGATGCTCACTGTGGGCACATGGCATCACTCTGTGTCTGAACCCAGAACCACAGACACTGCTGGGGAAACAAAGAGGATGTGACCAGGCAGAGCCCACCAGCAGAGGTCCCAGCACCAGGGATCCAGAACAACTGCCTTGCGTGCAGACTGTGTATCACCCCAGTGTGCTGAAATCCACTTTTATCACACAGCTGTGGTCCTCACAGTGTGGTCCCTGGGCCAGCAGCTCCAGCAGCACTGGGAACTTGTCAGTTTCACCTGGAAACTTGGGTCGTCCCATCCATCATCTGTTATAACAAGCCCCCACCCCTGGCGGGCAATTCTGATGCACAGTCAAGTTTGAGAGCTATTTTCATGTCACATAAAAACAGTGCTTCACTGTGTTTCATTCCAAACTAAACGGCCACTTCCAGAAAAATCAGAATCTCACCCAGGTTGCAAAACTCAGTCTCTTCCCTTTACCTACAAAAACATACTTCTACTAAGTATTTTTGAATTTTGGCAGGATTTTCTGAAGCTTTGGGGTGCACGGGTGCAGATCCAGGGGAGGCCCTGCTGCCCCATCCTCACCCCACCCTCTGCACCTCCCTCTCCGTTTCCTCTTCCTCTGGGTCGTGCCAGAGAAATACTGGAGCCAGTCAACAGTGTTTCACAACCCTCACGGTTTGGTTGGTGCGATGGTTAATCTTCTGTGTCAGCTTGGCGGGGCCACAATGCTGATATTTGCTCAAACATTATTCTGGATGTTTCTGTGAAGGTCATTTTTGGATGAGATTGACAGAACGTTTAAATTGGTGGACTTTGAGTATAGCGGATCACCCTCCACAATGTGGGTGGGCCTCATCCAATCAGTCAAAGGCCTTAGAGAACAAAGTCTGAGCTCCTGAGGGAGAGGGAGTCCCCAGCAGACGGCCTTTGGACTCCAACTGCAACACTGGCTCTCCCCTGGGTCCCAGCCTGCCATCCCCCAAAGCCCCCCATGGAATTTGGATTTACCAAGTCTCCATAACCACATGAGCCAATTCCTTAAAAATAAGTAATCCCCCC